ATTATTATTGTTTCCAGGGCTTCTCATGGATTTTTGAATAATAGCAGTAACTGACAGCCTCAATATCACTGGCTTTGTCCTGTCTTTTTGTATTAAATAAGGACATTGGTAGCCTTGCAGAAGTTAAATATCTACATATTGGCCTAGTTTTTTATCTGAGAGTTATTTTTTCTTATCTGAATTTATCCGGGTTTAGACAGTCTTTCACATAATAAGTCAAATTAATCTTAACTGGCACCTTGATCTGCTTTTGCTTCCCCTTCCCTAGGTTTGTGTTGCAGCCTTTTTGCATTATGCACAAAGTGGGAGACAATGTGAGCCAAGGTTATCAGAAAGTTACTAAGTGGATATTCTCTCTGTTGATATGCAGAAGCACCCTTGACTATAGCCGAAATGTTTCCCATTTCTTGACCACTGTCATTCTGCTTATTATTAATGTCTTTCTTTCATATACTGTGAGAAATTATTGTTTAATACAATTCAAAACAATATAAGATTTCTCCAGTTTGGTTCTTATTAGGTATGAATGGCCTGATGTATGCTTATTTTTATGATACAGTACTTCATTTGCTGCAAAGATCAATATTTCTATGACTTAGAAATTTGAGTTTTGAGGTGTTCATGTGTAAAAAACAAACAGGAGTAACAGCTGAATTTTATAGACAAATATTTTATCTATTTATTTAAAGAGCTAAACAATGATTTGTTGTGTCTATTAATCATCCTAATTTCATCTGAAAATTCTTTATCAAAATCTTTTGTATGTCAGCTATATCTGTTTAGAAACCCAATAATATCTTGTACATCTGATATTTTTTGGTCAGAAACCTACCACATTTTATATGGCTTACTTACCATTTTTCGCACCATAAGACGCACCTGACCATAAGACGCACATAGTTTTTAGACGAGGAAAACAAGAAAAAAAATATTCTATCTAAAATGAAGATAACACTGCATATATCCTTTTTTACCTTTAATATATATGTGTGTGTGTGTCTGTGTGTGTCTGTGTGTGTCTGTGTCTGTGTGTGTGTATATAAAATAAAGGTAAAAAGATATACCGTATGCAGAGTTCTCTTCATTTTAGATGTCAAAAGGGTCTCTGTCTCTCTCTTTCTCTTCTCTTTCTCTTTCCTTTTTTCGTTCTTCTTTTTCTCTCTTTCCTCTCTTTCCCTCTTTCCTCTTTTTCTCTTTCTCTGTCTCTCTTTCTCTTTCCCTCTTTCCTCTTTCCTTTCTCTTTCCTCTCTTTCTCTTCTCTTTCCTCTCTTTCCTCAATCTTTTTTCTCTTTCCTCTTTTTCTCTTTCCTCTCCCCCTTTCTTTTTCTTTCCTCTCTTTCTCTCTTTCCTCTCCCTTTCTCTCCCTCTTTCCTCTCCCCCCTTTCCTCTCCCTTTCTCTCTTTTTCTTTCCTCTTTCTCTCTTTCCTCTCTTCTCTTTCCTCTTTTTCTCTTTCTCTTTCCTCTTTTTCTCTCTTTCTTTCCTTTTTCTCTTTCCTTTCTCTCTTTCCTCTAACTTTCTCTTTCTGTTTCTTTCTCTCTTTCCTCTTTCTTCCTCTTTCCTTTAACTTTCTCTCTTTCCTCTCTCTTTCCTCTTTCTTCCTCTTTCCTTTAACTTTCTCTCTCTCTTTCCTCTCTCTTTCTTTCTGTCTCTGTCTGTCCCTGTCTCTCTTTCCTCTCTCTTTCTCTCTTTCTCTTCCTNATTATTATTGTTTCCAGGGCTTCTCATGGATTTTTGAATAATAGCAGTAACTGACAGCCTCAATATCACTGGCTTTGTCCTGTCTTTTTGTATTAAATAAGGACATTGGTAGCCTTGCAGAAGTTAAATATCTACATATTGGCCTAGTTTTTTATCTGAGAGTTATTTTTTCTTATCTGAATTTATCCGGGTTTAGACATCTTTCACATAATAAGTCAAATTAATCTTAACTGGCACCTTGATCTGCTTTTGCTTCCCCTTCTCTAGGTTTGTGTTGCAGCCTTTTTGCATTATGCACAGAGTGGGAGACAATGTGAGCCAAGGTTATCAGAAAGTTACTAAGTGGATATTCTCTCTGTTGATATGCAGAAGCACACTTGACTATAGCCAAAATGTTTCCCACTTCTTGACCACTGTCATTCTGCTTATTATTAATGTATTTCTTTCATATACTATGAGAAATTATTGTTACAATTCAAAACAATATAAGATTTCTCCAGTTTGGTTCTTATTAGGTATGAATGGCCTGATGTATGCTTATTTTTATGATACAGTACTTCATTTGCTGCAAAGATCAATATTTCTATGACTTAGAAATTTAAGTTTTGAGATGTTCATGTGTAAAAAACAAACAGGAGTAACAGCTGAATTTTATAGACAAATATTTTATCTATTTATTTAAACAGCTAAACAATGAATGATTTGTTGTGTCTATTAATCATCCTAATTTCATCTGAAAATTCTTTATCAAAATCTTTTGTATGTCAGCTATATAGGTTTTGCATCTGTTTAGAAACCCAACAATATCTTGTACATCTGAGATGTTTTGGTCAGAAACCTACCACATTTTATATGGCTTACTTACTTACTCTTACTTTTTCCTCAGTTGCTTTCCCATTGCTTGCAGCAATCAGATTGGGAACATCCTCCATTTAATGCTGAGGTTTTCTTTTTGAAAGTAATTTTGCTTTTCTTTCCTATTTTCTGTTCCTTCTCCACTCGATCATTTTACCTAGGAAGGAAGGTTACCTATTTATAGGTAGGCAAAGGTGTCATGTTGCCTTTTCCACCATGGCATGGGTACAAAACATAGCAGTAAATGGCCCCTCGGTGACATTTCTTTCTTTTTGCCTTCTCTGAGTGGGAGAGGATCAGCTTAGCCGTGCCTTTATCTACTGACCAAAATTCACAAAATGAACTCAAGAGACTTCTGCTCTGGAAGTTACATCCTTTGAACATCTTAGCTGGTTTACACCGAGCTGATTGCTGTGATACCCAGTAGCAAGAAATCATCTGCTGAGCTACCCCAGGTCACACAACTAATCACCTCCCACTACTAAAAGAAAGAAATCAAGATTTCCCCCCAAACAGAACTTCACCCCAATTGTAGTCTTACTATTATTACCTACACTTCCATCATCACCACTCCACACAGTAGTGAATCACATCCCCATTACCGCCATTAGAGCAATGGATGCAAGGCTTCATAATGGAAAGAAGTAGGGGCGTGTTCTTCCCTGGGCTCAAGACAGCCTTAATGGCAAGAAACATACTGTTAATACTATAACCCCAGTATTATGGGTATGATCATCAATCCCCAACCCTGGTAGATACTTTTCTTGGGAGAAATAAGTTTTTTTTCCTTCTGAACATCTTGAAGATATGTGAGATCTAGCATCAGTGCTATGACTAAGTCTATTAAGCTATCAAACCCATAAATAATTGTAGCTAAGTATGAAATGGTTGTATTGCTGCTTTGGTGTCAGGCACTGTAGTTTTGCGCAGATGTGCTTGACTTTGTTCAACAGATTGATCCCAGAAAGCCCACAACTGACTTGAACACTTCCCTTTGATGGGAAAGGTCTTCTTAATCAGTAGTTTCTCATATAAAATACAGTGTCATTTTTTTTTAAAGTTGGCACGTTGATTCTGGCTTGTATGGAAGCTATTAGCCATATTTGATAGTTCCGATCTAATGGGAAGCTCTAGTCAGCTATTACATCTTCAGTTGTTTTCTCATTTCTGCAAAGGAAAAATAACATAGCCACGTACAGCTGCTCGAAGGTTTTGCATTTTTCATCTTGTTAAAAGGAGATTTGATGGTCTGATGCAACCAAAATGCTTATAATGGTATAAATCTTTTAACATATATTCATTGATTTCATAAAGTTACTCACATACAGGAAATAAACCTTGTACAATAATTGCATGTATAAAATTTATGCTCCCAAAGGAACAAGGCAACACTTATTGAATTTTTAATGCCATGAACAGTTTGGGGAAGGTCAATTTAACCTCTTGTAAGAAATATTCTCATATAAAAATGTTTTAAAAATTTGGCCTATATTCTAGACAATAGTCACATGCAAAGAGTATAATCCTCACGATAGTGTGATGAGTGAAAAATGATAAATAAGTTTACTAACTTAAGAAGAGCCATGTTTTGTTACCATACAGCGAATAGTTTAATTAATACACTTTCCTGCTGGGGCACTTTCAAGCATATTAACACTATATTATAGGTACACATCATAATGGAAGGGTGATGCATCTGTTTTCCATTACTTTCCCCAAGTCCTGCAATCGGTGATGCTTAAATGTACAATAAAACAAAAGCGGTATTTTAGACACCTAATGAAATATTTGGTGGGTATTTGAAGTTTAATGCATTATGCTAAGCCATTGTGATTGAAATGTTTCATTTCTTTCTTTTATTTAGGTCACATTCTCCAGTCTCCTTCAGCTAATGTGCTTCCAACTCTTCCATTTCACGTGCTGCGCAGCTTGTTCAGCACTACGCCTTTGACTACTGATGATGGAGTACTTCTTAGGAGAATGGCCCTGGAAATTGGTGCAGTTCACCTTATTCTTGCTTGTTTGTCTGCTCTTAGCCACCACGCTCCAAGAATTCCCAATTCTGGTTCCAACCAAACAGAGGTGAGTTTGACTTCCAGAATAATTATCTCAGAATTATCAAGATGGTGGAGGTTGTTTTAATAATCCAACTTTATGTCCTTTATTATCAATACCTATGAGATTTTGGCACTGGTATTCTGTGTATGGTAGACTGCTCAAATAATTGCTTCCAGATAATGATTATTCTAAATTTTCATAAAATGGGAAATTGAAATATTAATGTTTCTGTCTTAATTTTGTATGGCTAAAATACGCTTTTACCGGTTTTAATTATACGGCTCTTTTTGGAACACAGAGATCTCAATTTTGAAACCTACTTAAACATATAAGCTTATACCTATGGATTTCAGAGCGTTGCTGGTTATTTAAAATAATATTTGTTTTGCTTAATGATCCAGAAGAGTAGCATGGTATTGAAAAGATGGTACAGCAATCAATTTCCACAGTAGTGTGCTTGCTAAAGGATTGTTTTTCAAGATTATTTTACAAAATTAAGCTGTCAACAAGAAGCTTTCTCAGCAAGTTCTTTGAGAACAAGTCTTAATTAATTAATGGTTACTGGATACAGTTTTTTATCTGCCATGTCCTGGAGTGTCTATTCCAAACTCCTGCACTCTTTCTAATAGCAGTTCCTTGTTTATTATAAAGACATTATTATGTTCAGTTTTTGTAATTGAAGCTTGCATAAGCATTGTGTGCTTTTTGAAAGTTTAGTGGCCTGGAACTTGGTGGAAAGATGACAACTTTGTCTGAGCTCCAGAAAAAAACTTATCAGTTCAGATAAGGTGGTTTTTTTTGCCCTTAAGAACCAGCTGTAATATTTCCTAGCTTCACATAGGCTTTCATGATGTGACTTTCCCCCATTTGTGAGGTGGAGACCCAATTGGTACATACAGATATTGATGGCAATGTAAAAACATTAGGGAAACTGTTTAAAATATTTTCCAGTCTTGCTTTTAAATCAATATAATTGCTTCAAAGACACATGATAATATAACCACTGTCTCCCCATAGTGCTTGCACACACAAAGTATTTTGTAATATAGAACAGAATGTTTGCTACTTAGATGAAAAGTTGCAATTATCAATTTATTCTCAAAAGTGTAAGCTGTTCACAAAGAATATTCATGAACTTAATAATCATTCGAATCAACCTTCCAGGGAATTTGTATTTTTCCAATTAATACCACAAATGATTTAAGTACCTATTTAAGTTAACACTATGAATTATCTGAATTTTAGGATGGATGAATGGGTGGGTAGGTAGTTAGGTAGATTAGCTTTCTGAATCATCAGATGAAAAAAATGTATTTTCTCAGAAACACAAGCCATTATACCTGGTTGACATTTCTGTAGAAACCTGCACCCTCATTTTTGTTAAGAAGATAGGGAAGTAGATTTTTTTTTATCCAACGTTTGTCTCCTGCATGTATTTGTCACTGTTTTAAGCACTAGAATCAGATGTGGCTTACTGATATATAGTATGTGAAGCATTTAAATTCAGCAAAATAGATAAATGTTATCCTACGGTTCACATACAATGGACAAGCACTGATTGTAAAGACCAGTTAGAATTTTTGCTGAGTAAGCTTTTACTGTATCCCATCTTATCCATAAGCCAGATACCAAAATAAGGAGGGCTTATTCAAAAGGGTTTTGTTGACTCCTTGCTCTAGAACAGGGGTGTCAAACTCGCAATGTCACATGACGTGTCACGACATGTCATGACTTTTTTTCCATTGCCGGCAATGGGGTGGGCACGGTTTCGGCATGACGCATCTCGCCCACGGGCCGGCAGTTTGATACCACTGCTCTAGAATATAAATCTGTGAAATTTGAAACTGCAGTTTAATTGTTTTTAACTTGTCACAGGTGTCAAGCACACACAATAGTGCATCAACAGAAGAACAGCAACTTTACTGGGCTAAAGGCACTGGATTTGGAACTGGTTCTACTGCTTCAGGATGGGATGTGGAACAAGCTCTAACTAAACAAAGACTGGAAGAAGAGCATGTCACATGTCTTTTACAGGTATTAGAACAATATAATATTCATATACATTCAGTTTATCAAAAATTAAATCTTTGATTTGAGAGTTACACTGAATTGCCCTTTTATTGATATTGAATGTCATTTGTATTACATATTTAAAAGATGACTCCTAGATTCAAGAATTTAATGGGCCTGCATGAGTATTTTTTTTCTTTTCTGATACAATTTTTCATGCTACGTAATGAACATGTTGGAATGTAAATTGGTTTCACTAAAAAAAATAGCAATTTTATTCCATTATTGAAAATTTTCTGACATTAACATGTGGCATCTGGAATCTGTTTTGAGCAGAGAAGTATGGGGTTTAATTAAATCTGATCATTTCTGTAGTGATATTTATATCAGGAATGCCTACATTGTTCACTAAATGGGCTTTTGAAGTTGATGAAGAATGCTTATTAATTTTATTTTAAATATATTATTTCTCTGTACTAATGAAAAAGAGATTTTTTTAAATAGTTTTCCTACATATTATGTATAGTAAGAACTACTATTACCTTGTAATTCATATCCTTTATGTGGCTATCTCAGTGAAATTCTTAAAAAAACTTTCTTAAATTTCAGGTTCTAGCTAGCTACATAAATCCTGCAGGCAGCATATCAAATGGAGATATCCAGTCCAGCCATGAAAGTAGAGGACAGAACAGCAGTGCCCTTCCATCAGTTTTGCTAGAGCTACTTAGTCAATCATGTCTTATTCCAGCAATGTCATCTTACCTCCGCAATGATTCAGGTAGTGTGTTGCTCTTTGTTTTTCAAAACAGCTTGTTTTCCAATCCAGTGTAGAAATGCTAAGGTTTATATATATAAAAGTTGCATCAAAACATATCATAAAATTCAAATGCATTGGAGTTTCTGTAAAATATGTGAGAAGCCAGCAGCTTGAAGATGAACATAATTACACTTCATACAATGAGATGTATCATTTATCTTCTGTGCTTTGAATGTTGATAGTGTATCCATATTCATTTCTTTATCACATGTTCTTATATAACAAAAAATACCTATGTGCTTTTTTGGTTTTCTGTAAATTGAGTATAATGCAAATTTATGAAAGTGAAAGATGAATATTGAAAGCTTCCATAAAATATGATGCTATCTACAGTAGTCTAGCTCAGAGTGTTTCAGGATAACAGTTATTTTTTTCATCATATCACTGCGATACGAGCTAAAACTGCACAAAGTTGAATCCCATTCAGTAGAAAGAGCTTGACAAAAGGCTTTGTATTTACTCAGCTGTAAAAAAGGATTCTGTCTTTCTGCTTACAAATCCTACAAAGTCTTTCTTAATCTCACTTGCATGTTGTTATGATTCGTGGGGATGGCGGAAATTATTCAGTTGCAAGTGAGTTCCCAGAAATCTAGGTGTCAGTTGAGAATGAGTTAAAGTGATAAGCTATAGCCAAGAGTTCATAAAGGATATAGGTCAGTGGTGGCGAACCTATGGCACGGGTGCCAGAGGTGGCACTCAGAGCCCTCTCTGTGGGCACGTGCGCCGTCGCTCCAGTCCTAGGCCTTCTGCTGGGTTTTATAAAACCTTTTCGCTTTAGGCCTCCGCCGCCGTGTACAAAAAAAAAAGGTTCAATCAATCAGTCAATTTCAATTTCTCGTGGGAAAAAAAAAGATCTTGCAAAGTTGGAATTGATTGATTGAACTTTTTAGTCCCGCCCAGTCTGCTGTTACCACCGCAGCCACGCCCACCCAAGTGGCCACACCCAGCCAATGGGCCACACCCACCCGGCACCCGACAATGCATAAGTGGGTTTGGGGTTGCAGTTTGGGCACTCGGTCTCTAAAAGGTTCGCCATCACTGATATAGGTGGTCAAAATTAACAACAATAGTTGCCCAATCAATTCAACTTGCAGGAATCAGTTGTAAAAGATTTTATGACTTGGTGAAATGTCAACTAATGGTTCTAATAGGTAATGTAACCTGTTCCATACGGATTTTTTAGTCTTTCTTAGGCAGCTTAGTTTTGTTTAAGTGACTGCCCTGAGAAACTGAACGCCCTTTTGGCTTTGTCCAAAAATTCTCTAATGCATAAAAGCCTGATTCCTGCCACATTGGACTAAATTATATTCTCCATGGAAACTTTGTTGTGTTCAGTTAACTTTTTCTAAAGTATAAGGTAGCTGTGCATTAGGTGTGATATTTGCCTGTTATTAATATTCAGTATTCCTGCACTTCACATTCACTGATGTTATTAGCAATCTGTTGTGTTTGTTGTGGCTTAGAATTCAAAGTACCTAATTGTTTTTTACTGCAATTCCAATATTGTTTATTCAAAAAATTGAGTTAGAATTTTGAGTTGGAAGCCTCAATATTTCTTGACTTCTGGGGAAGCAATGACAGACAGTGGACAGCTCTGCAAGAGGGGAGCCAGTGACTCCAGCAGAAAGAGGGCCTAATGAATCAATTGGCTCCCCAAAGTCTCTCCAGATTACGAGAAGGGCCTGGGATCTCCCTTAGTGCTCCATAGAGATGGTTCCTGCAATGAAACCATAAAACAGCAGGTTTTATTGGTCTGGTAGTCAAGAAAATCAATTTTGCCCAAGCCTCAATTCAGAGCCTTTAAAAAAGGATATTGAGTTCACCAACTTTCTCTCTTAATCACTTTCGCTGGCAGGGGTTTGTAAGTTGCTTTTTGCATACTAAGAACCTTCAGAAGGACACATTTTATTATACTGGGCAATTTTCCTTGAAATCCCAACTAAGAAATTTAGTAAGTTTAAGAACTTAAAGAAAAGTTTATTTGGAAATAAGCACCAAAAGGTGATTAGAATGATTCCTTTGAAATGTTTTAAACAGATTAAGGAACCAGACTGACTCTGGATAAGATTTTGAAATACTTATAAGAATACTTCCTGTAGTTTCTTTAAAAATACATGAAGATTTTTAATTTAAATGTAAGAGATCTTTCCCTGTGTTGTGGCTTGGAAAAACAGAATAAGAGGCAACCTTGAATTTGGTTACTAGTGATTAGTAGAGGGGAAAAAACTAAAAATTATAATTAAAGGAGAAGACCCACCAGTTCAGAATGGAAAAAGGAATTTTAACTCTGGAAGTATTCAAAGATATTTGGCAATGATGTACTCTGAACTTTTTTTTAAGATTGTCTGTTACAATAAAAAATGGGTTGAAAAGAGGAGATTATTATTATTATTATTAATTTGATTTATATACCGCCCTTCTCCCGAAGGATAGAAGAAGATTCAATTCAGGAATAGACTGTTTTGAATATGAACTTAAAATTGACTGCATATAAGAATGATACTGAACAGGATGTTATATAAGATTTACAAATGAAATCAGCTGATGTTTTAATAGCTAAAAGGGAGATACAAATAATAAAACAGAAGAGTGATTTAGATGTGTGAATTTCAACTCTGAAGTGTGACATGGACAACTTTCTTATTTTGAACAAGAGAAATCTGTTATATTTATGAAGAAAGTTAGAGAAAGAAAAGAAACTGGATTTTGAGAGACTAGTTAAAAAGAATAAACAAGACTTTTAAAAGTAAAAGGAAGGTTTATAAAGTTAACTTATTTGATCAAGGTTAAAATGTGTATGATTTTTTTTCTAACAGTTTTTAATGGATTTTTTTTAAACAGGACTGAATAATGAAGCTTTAAAGATTCATTTATAGATAAGATATGGGAAGAAAAGATGTTTTCTTATATTTTTACAGAAAGTGGCAAGCTATAGTATTAAAATTGAAGGAAGGTGTTAAAGCTGGGGAGGAGTTTCTGAGAGGAGATGAAAAGATTATTAATTTGTGAGACATTATTTGAAGAAATTAAAAATTATTTGTATTATGTTTCTGGTAGCTCTTAATAGAGCTGTAATCGGATTGAATGATAAGGCTTTAATGATTTGTTTATAGATATGAGCTAAGACATAGTAGGAAGAGGTTTTATGCAGTTATATTTTGCAAGAAAATAAATTATTGTGTAAAGGAAAGGAATATGAAATCGATTTGTTTGTTTAAAGTTTATATATAATGAAGGGGGAATCATGTTACAAAGAGGCATACATTCCTGGGATTCCTTTGTCACTGAGACATAAAGTATCTTTAATTTTGTAGAATTAAAAGAATGAATCAGTTAATCTTAATTAGGAGTGAGAGCTTCTGTAGGATTCGGCATTCTGTGTACTCCGATTTAAAATCTGCATGAAGTTTCTGGGTGGGATCATCTGTCATCATGGGGTAAGCTTTCAGTTTGTTGGTTACACTCAGTTTATATCTTTCCCCTCGGTGAAGTAAGTGATATGGTTGACATCTAGCCTGGATAGTTATTTGGATGGGGAACAACAGGCTTCAGCTGAACCCTGGCAAGAATGAATAGTTCTGAGGTTTGGGGCCTTCTAGTTCAAGCTTTGATATTGGGTGGGATGTCAGTGCCTCTAGGCCCAGTGTGCAATTTGAGGATCTTCTAGATTCATGACTCTTTCTCAAAGAGCAGTTGGAAGTTGGAGCTAGGAGGGCCTTTGCACAGCTTCATGTGTGCGCCCATGCCCTTGAAGATCATCTGTTAGCTTCAGCTGGTTTAGAGTGCAGCTGAATGGACAATTAAGTGTGCCCCCTAGAAAGATGCGTGTTTGTGAGCTCCATTGGTTGCCAGTTTGCTTCCAGGTGCAATTCAAGGTGCTGTTTTTGACCTTTAAAGCCCCACATGGCATAGACCAGGTTATTTGAGGGACTTTCTCTTCCTAATTACATCTACCCATTTCATCATGTTGGGCAGGAGGGGGAATACTGTGGGTCCTGCCCTCAAATTAGCACAATCTGGCGGGATTCAGGTAGTATGCTTTTACTGCTATGGCCCTCATCCTCTAGAACAGTGTTTCTCAACCTTGACAATTTTAAGGCATGTGGACTTCAACTCCCAGAATTCCACAGCCAGCATTGCTGGCTGTGGAATTCTGGGAGTTGAAGTCCACATACCTTAAAATTGTCAAGGTTGGGAAACACTGTTCTAGAATATCATTCCTCCCAAGCTGAGGATAGTCCAATCTCTGTTAGCCTTCTGGAAGGATCTTAAAACATGTGGCTTTTTTCTATTAACCTTGGGGATCCCCGAGAGATTCTGTAAGTTGGCTGCATGACATTAAGTTATATTTGTTCTCCAGCTTTTTTTTGGGGGGGGGGTGTTGTTTATGTAATATATTTTATTTATTTGTTTTGTTTTGTTTTTAGACTGTTTTGAGTCTTTTAACCGTTGTTGTGTTGTATGCCATCCAGAATCACATGTTTTTGAGATGAGGAGCTATAAATATAAAAAAATATTTTACCTTTGAGACAGAAGCCATCAGATCAAGATTTGCCAGGAGAATATCAAAGAATTCTGACAGAAGTGACATTCCTGTGACCATTTGGGCAGGGTGCCTTCTGTTGGATTAGTAAAAGGAAAGGAGGCTTCAAGAGTGGGCAGTGAACTAAAATAACCCCTTTAGCAGCTTAAGAGATTACATCATAACAAGAAGTCTTTGGGGAGAAAATATATATGGGTTTTTTAATAAGGCAAAAACAGCTATTGTAGGAGGGTTTCTTAATATCAGGCATTGTGATTTATCACTTAGTAAAGCAGCAGCTGCAACAACATGCAAGCAGGCTGAAAAACATTTGCCACAGGATAATAGGTTTTGTATGGCATCCATCCAGTTGTAGCAAGAAGTCCACGCTTTTTATGACTACATAATTTAAATAGGTTTTTGAAATCAGGTCTCTCCA